GGTCTTCGTCTGGCCTCTACCCGTTGACCTTTCAGGCATGATTGGATCTCCGGCTGTGAAAAGCCATCCTGTGTAACTCGCAGGGTCACTGAGGCGCGCAAGCCATCACACCACGTCAAGATGCAGTCTCGTCGTGATGGACCTTATTATGTATGGTGATATCAACCTGTCAGTAGGGGTGAGTTGGGCAACTGTCAAGCCGTGGACTTCCATTGCGTGCGTATACTGCTCAGCCACGGCGAGGATACCAGTGCTCGTCTGCTGACTGAATTGTTTGCTCGAGAACACCCCCACGATCTAAATCTGATACATTTCGTAATAAACCTTTGATTGCACAATCACAGGAAGCATTGAAGTGATGTTTATAAGGTACCAGTGGTCCAATGGATCGGATATTTTCGTTTTTGTTGAGAACCTAGAGGATATTTGATACCCCCTCCCCTAAATGGATTTGACTATTTTCTGGACACATGGTTCGTGGAACCTTATCGCGGTTCTTACGTGTACGCCAAAATTCCTTTATAAGTTGGGATTCGACTACCGGCCTCTCTCGTTGATAACCGAACACACTATACCTGTGCTGGGTGTTTTTTTATCTAAATAATAACTATATCTGTGCCTGCACTCACCCTCTGTGGGGATCAGATGGAAATGGTTGAGAGCTTTTAATACCTCGGGGTGAAGTTGGGGAAGAGATCACATCACGAATGGTGAAAGCTAGAGTAGCTTTCACCAACCTGCGACACATGGCGCAGCCGTGACATCCGGCTGTCTCTTAAGGGAAGGGTGTACATCACCGCGGTCCGTAGTGTTCTGCTTTACGATTGAGAGGTCTGGCGTCTCCGAGCGGAGGATGTTAATCGACTTTCCGTATTCGACCACCGATGCCTTCGAAGCATTGCTCGTGGTGGGAACATCGGGTGAGCAATGACGAAAATCGTCATCCTTTGCTGGGTACTGATAGTCGTTCTCTAACGGAAGAGTTCGTTCTGGACCACCTCCGATGGCTCATTCACGTTTTGCGCATGCCTGCCCATCGACTACCTTTCCGTGCTCTCTTTGCACGTGCTAGTCAAGGCTGGAAGAAGCGCCACGGCAGTCAGACCATGACGTGGCGTAGAGGTATGAAGAAGTTAGCCTCAGCATTGGCTTCGGTTGGTGCAGCTCACCTTCCAGGTTGGAGCTCAAGGGATGAGGATTGTCGATGGTTAGAGACGCTGGGAATTGTGGCTCAGAATAGATGTCAGTGTCGCGATTGCTGTGCGGTTTGTTCGGCGAAACCTCGTTTCCCATAACACAAAACAATCTTCAAAAAGCGTACGGTGGAACTACCAAAGAATTCATTCATTCATTTGTTCTCCGTGTTCTCAGTTTTCCCCATTTTCATTTAATCTTTCCGTACTCCTCCGTAACTTCATTATCATTGTTTTGCATTGGCACCATGTTTGTTCTCAAGTCGGTGTAAAATATATGCATATATATTGAATCTACTTAACTCGGGGTTAGGTTTTTGAAAAATGCCCACCGTAAAACTGCTGTCCGTAAGTGGTATGTGCTGTCACGTAAAATCACGATTCCCAACATTCAGTTTGAACTTTTCAGCTGTCGACTTTCGGACAACCATGTTGACAGTACCACAGGTGACTGTTCGTACATTCTAGCACAATATGGAATTTATAGAATCTTCGGTCGATTCTTATTGGTTAATTTCATTTTCTCATATAAACAGGCCGCGCATGATAAATTGGGTTAACATTCGGTAAAACAGTGTTGATGAATCACTACTACATGTGGCAGTGGCCAATTGGTTAGGTCACCAACTTGTGACCTGTGAGTCCCAGATTCGAACGGCTCCACCGCCGCCCGTCTTCCCAGACAGCCTTTGTATGGCCGCGGTCCCTCTTCCTGAATGTTGACTGTACATTTGTATATTCAATAAATAAAAACGGAAGTAAAAAGATTATTTATTATTATTTCTAGCTGTCATCGTCAACCTTCGATCTCAGTCATTCCTCTTTCGTCCATTTTTCTTATGCGGAATAAAATGACCGAGCTGAGCTTGGAGAGATCCTTCGTCCTAATGTAATAATGTCCGTTTTTTTGGCATATGATTAGTGAAACCAAAAATCTCAAGATTCGAAATCTACTTCTTACCATTTGTTTTTTGAGTGGACATCCCTCGTTTAGTGATCGAAATGAATGAAACCTATCATCTCAGTTATTCGCTTGTCACATTATACTTCCGATTTCAGGGCGTCCGAGCAGAAGTGTTACTGTGGAACTCAGTCATGTTCTGGCATCATGGGAGCCACAAGCAAACATTTGCAGGACAGAGTGCGACTAAAGGATACGACTATGGTCAGTTCACTCTTTTGAGCTTGATTGGCTTGATCTGTTGCCTATTTGAACCGGTTACGGACAGATTTGTTTCCATAACTCAGTGTGAGACTGATTTTTTTGTCGTAGGCAAATGAGCGTATCGCTTTCAATCTTACTGTGATGTCCATATTTATGCTTATATTTATCGAATTTCAGTAGTGTTCATGTGAATTATTAGAACAGAAGCATATTGCAGTGTGGTCTGTACGGCTAGTCCGCCTTAAGGCTACCGTACTGTCACCAAGAAGGGAAACAAGTGTATCTGTATATCACTAAAATTACTCCGTTGATTGACATTCACGTAATCTTTTTTCACTTTTACCCTCAGGTTGAGCGTCGTGTGATGCAACTTTTGCAGTGCACGTCTTTCCACTCTGCTGAGGACATCACGTTGTTGCTCCAAGTCATGGTCCAGGAATGCCTCACACGTTATACACGTTTTGAATTGCTCAAACGATTGGCGAACACGGAAAGCAATGCGTGTTTGAAGCTGTTTCGACAGTACAACGGTCTAGACATGCTGGCTGCATTTATGTGCGATTCGGATGTGACCGATTGGGAATTAAAACGCCAGGTAAGTTTGATTTTTTCCTCATGGACTTTAAACATTCATGTCACTCCGTACTGTTAGTAGCGTTCTCAATAATACTTCACCGCGACTGATTCCTCAGAGGGGATGACTGGAAGAAATACTAAAATTTATGTCATGAATTCATTCCGATGAACTACTCCTGTTCTGTGGTGCAAATTTCATTTTCATGGTTTTGCCTGCGCTGCTTCAGTGACAGTATTGACGTCATGGCATCCTGGAGGAAATCGGTTCAAAGTAACTATATCTGTTCACAAATTACATCTGCCGGTCTTGTTCTTGAATGCACTAATTGCATATCCTTCTCCATTACTTTCGTTCCGCTCATTTCAGATTCTTATTTGTCTGCATAATATTCCGGTATCAGAACAAAAACAAGTTCAAACGAACTCACGCCTAATGGAAATAGTATCACAGTGGAGTGTGGATCCGCATTTCTGTCGACCGCGTGGATCCGCCCCTGGTCCCTCTCTGAATTCAGATGACAAAACCGCACAGAATGTGACCACTCCCGATCTGTCGCCTAAAATCTCCGAAAATTCATTTTCTGCCCAGGTCTCGGAAGAAGATAACCAGGCAGATACAGGTTAGTTTCTGACACAAAAGTTGTTTTTCTACTTTTTCTCGGTCTTGATTTTAACGGGCGCTAACGTTCCTTCTCGTCGTTCCGTTTCCCGACAGCGTCACGTCCTGCATCACTCAAAAACTTTACGGAGTCGGCTTTTACTCATTCAAATACTACATCCAATCAAAATTTAACTCGATCCGCTTCGACTTCTGCTTTGATTTCTGACGCTTGGTTCAAGCAGCAGTCTATATCGAGTCAGCTACAATCCCCGCAAAAGCTTTATGACGATAACTCTGTGGGCCCGGGCTCGTCATCTCTCACAGTTGACGTGGAAACCGGCGAACTCGAGCCTTCGATATCGTCCACCGACCACACTGAACAAGAACGAGAGGTTACGGAAGAAGAACGAATACAAGAAATCCAACATTTATCTCAAACTCTGTTCGATCGGTGGTCTAAGTTACCTGTAAGTTAGTGGTTCTCTAGCACACCGGGTGGGAGCCTCCATTTCGGTTAATCCTGATTTTAAGGGATCACAGTTCATTATTCCTGTTGGTTACATTTGTGCTTAGTTCGTTTTTACCCGGTCGAATATGGTGACTGCGTGATTCTCTTGATTCGCTTGCTATTCCTATTCTTGAAACTCCATTCACCTTTTCTCATAGTACCACGTGGATGCACAAATTAAACCCGTTGTCTTGCGTACAATACGCTATTCAGCCATATGAACTATCCTGCTATTCTAGACCATCTCAACTTCGTGCAGGCATTTCGTTTGAGGATCTCATTTTTCAGTGGAATTTTTTATTACATTTGTTGTGATAGGCAATAGAAGAGCCAATCCCAACCCTGCGAACTCTATCGTCACTAGGAGAAACAGGTTTCCGGAAACCTGAAACTCGAGTGACAGACCAAAATAGGCTTCAATGGGAAAATCGATACCTTCATTTTGGGTGATGAATCTGTTGGAAATTGTAGTTGTATAGTGGTTGCCGGACTCAAATTCAAGGTCTCGGAAACAAAGGTACGGTCATGGTAGAGACTTAGAACACCGTAGCAAAGCCTAGGTTGTTTAATAAAGCTTTCAAACATTGCTGTAACTTTTCTGGGGATAAAATGTAACTACCTCTTTTTGTATCCTGCCGCATTAACATTCATACTTATCGGTGCTGATTTGGTGATTCAGTTCAATAAGATTATTCTATCCAGCGCCAAAAATGACTATTAATCTACCCTGAGTAATAGCTATAATGCAAAAACTTGAGAAGAAATCGTGATGTGTTTCGCCGCAGTGCATTTTTTATTCAGTGCATACCGTTTCAGCTTGTACAACTATTGACCATGCACTTTGATGTGCCAGATGTCGCGGCGGCGGCGCCACAGTTCTCGAGATTTGGTGGTGGTGGCGCAGTGGTTTAGTCTCCGTCACCAGCGTGCTTTGGACCCTATGGTCCAAGGTTCAAGCCCCGCTACCACCACCCAACTTTGTGGTGGGCAGCTCTGCTGTCATCCGGTTCAGCACCCCACCTAACTCATCGGAGCCTTATGTCGTTCACCACTCCAGGTCCCGGGGCTTAGGTTGCCACTTTCCATCACTGAACAGTAGGTCCTCGTGACTGGGGTTCTCCCCGTCGACTGTTCATCACACGGAAGTGTGTGATAAAAAATGCTAATCGATCCTCCTGTATGCTCGCTGACGCTTGATCCGTGGTGCTTTCACTGGATGAGATATCGCTGCCCAAATGATAAAACTTGTCCACATGCTCTTATTTCCCGCTTGGAGTGGGGCTAGAAGATAATCGAAACCATCGAATAGGTTCGTAATATCGATTAGTGTGCCTTAATCGATCCGTCACTTATTTGCTTTCCTGTGTTGAACATCACAAACTCATTTCCAGGTGAAAGTACCCCGAACAATCTCTTGGCGTACGTTCTGTCCTGGTATCTTCCTTTGTATTCGATCAAAATAGATAATTCTTCTGTTGTTCATACCTATCTTGTAAGTCATGTCTTTAGCACTAATGAGAGTATAGTTCAGTTTGTACAACCATTAATCATCCACTTTCGTGCGCCGGTTTTGGTTCCTATCTTTTGGCTGCCCATTTGGATGAGCATAAAGAGAAAGACAGGAAAGGTGAAAAGTAGGATCAAGGAGAAAATTTAGGATTTCAGTCGACCAATGTTGCAGAGAAATTGACAAGATGCACGAGTGTCACTGTTTGCGACACCCAGTCATATCGCTCAGTGTCTCTAACCACCGGTGACCATGATCTCTGGGTCCCCATCCAGGCAGCCTAACGGGACCTATGTGACACAGTCTCCTGGTCAGGATTCTCATACCCTCATGCCACGTCTTAGCTTGACCACCCTTCACCTTTTCCACCCACTACCTGCCTAGGCAAACATCGCTCGTCGCGGCAACCTATTTGGTGACATGCGTAGAACATGTCCCAACCAGCGTAACCTATGGATGTCGACCATTTGCTCCAGTAGATGACTGCATTTACCTAAAACTCTGCGCCTAACCTCAGCATTGCTCGTCCGGCTGCCCCACCAGACTCGTGCAATGCGACGTCGACAGCGGTGCTCAAACATCGGCAATCTATTTTTATCCTGTTCCCGTAATGGCCAAGTCTTTGCACCGTAGAGCAGGACTGGTCGAACTGCTGCAGCATATACTCGACCCTTCACAGACAGCCGGATGTCGCGACGGTGCCACAAATATCTCAAGTTGGCAAATGCCAATCGAGCCTTCTGTATGCGCACCGATACTTCATCTGTGATGCGTCCACCGGGTGAGATGTAGCTGCCCAAGTAACAAAACTTATCCACTCGCTCTATTACTTCCCCAGTTAGAGTGAGACTGGGTGCTGAACCAACCCAGTCTTGAAGTAACATTTTACACATTCAAGGTGCAAAACGCATACCGAACCTGGTTACGCTAGCACTCAAACTATCTATAAAGGCCTGCAGCCTACTTGGAACCAACGAGAGGAAGCCGTAACAGTTCGCATATTTATTCAACTGGGTAACACTAATTGTAACAGAAGCTGAGCGTTTGTTCGTGTGGGAAAATGTGCAAGGTTCACTTAACCTAGAGTGTCAATAAGGTTTAAGTCACCAGGGACGATGTTCAACTGCTGATGTATACAGTTGGCAAGTTAGCAAACAATGTTATATACGGTTTGGTTGTACCAGTGGTAGTGTATGTATATACGAAATTTCGAAACAATACTCACCAAGGTAGCAGGGTTTCCAGAAGATAAAAGTACAATTAGTTCCTCTAGTTGAGAAGCTACATCTATTGAGAGTTGCCACACCAACTTCGTTGATGAGGATGATCACTCTGCTACCTCTATTGCGAAAGTTCACAATTTGTTCGCTCTTGACGATTTGTCACGGAGTGGCCGCAATCCAATATTTGGTTGTCGGACGCGGAAATACACAGAGATACCAAAATGGTGGTACTGTTGGATAACCTTGAATTGAAGTGGGCGATTTGTGATTGATGTAAAAGTACCAACAGCATACATAATCGTGAATATCCACTGTTATATTAGTCCTATTTGACATACGCACGATCGAATACAAAAGCCCCTTCGTCACATAAAATGAACTTGGTAGTCTTGCAATATTCGACATTGCACATCCGGGTTGTAGCCTTGACAAACTCGGCCTATATGCACTGCCAGTGCGTTCCAACACGGATGGAATAGATGTTTAATGCTCTTAAGTCTTTCCGTTGATGCATGTTGCACAACGACTTTGCATAATAAATGATATATTACGGTATTTAGAGGACATCATATACAGATCCAACGATTTCTCAGATTTACTTCTGAGTCTATGAAGTTACTTCAGCTATAGGTTAACCTTCATCCGAAAAGGAAAAATCACGTTTTCATTTGCGCACAATCGTTACTTTCTATGAGATTTTCTATTAGTCTTTTTATTGGGAGAACTTGTTATCTCACTCTGATTTCGATCGGAATAGTGAAAAACGAATGTCCCAGTGAAACACAAGCAATTAGGAAACGATCTTAAAGAATATCTGGGTCACAAACGAATGCGTTGGTTCTTCCCGTGGCCGTTTTTAATTCAATTTTTCCTTCGTTTTAGCGAGAGAACTATCGAATTCCGAGGCTGGAACGGCAAGAGACTGAAAAGCTTCTGCATGTCAACAATCAGATGGATTCATCTCTGGTATCGTGGGGTCATTTCGGTGAGTTCAATGTCCTTACTTAATGGTTACGCAGTTTTACCCTATTTGTATGCCATTTTCCTGTTTACTTGTTTGATTCCAAGGGTCAAATGAATTGCATCGTTTTTTTTGCGCGTGTTCATTGCAGATGACCAAGAGAACGCGACTAGTTCGTGGATTCAACCTAATGATCGAACAAGCACCGCTCATGTGCATTGGTCTAAACGCACTGAAACGGTATTGCCTTGTAGTTCTCGCCTCTCGAATCCAGCTTCCAGTTCACTGGATAACAACAAGGATCGGTTATCCAAGTTGGAGCGCAGAAGGCTGTTTGAGGCTCAGGTGAATGCCGCTGAAGCGAAAAAACAAGAAACAGACGTCTCTAGGACACCAATAGATACCGGGCAAACGGATGAAGCTACTCGATTGCGCCAGGTATGTTTGCCTTTCTTGAAAACTGTTAACTGTAACTTGTATAATATCAGTTTTTTTTGTGGAGAAACAAGTTATGAAATAGTTCGCGTGCAAGGACAGTGATGGCATGTGGTCCCGCGTGTCATCGGGAGAGCGGTCGTGTGCGTTTGCCGGAACAGTGGGAAGGAGACCAACGGTAGTCAGACATTAATGTTCTAGGAAAGTATGTTAACCTTAGCCAACCGATTTAGTCTTAGCTCATATCAGGTTTCCTGTTAGAGGACCTTGTAAGCAAGCCTATCTTTGCACGCCAAAAATAAAAATACGGAACTCATGCATCTACTCGCTATGCCCACTTACCGACTTTACTCATTCTCTGTATCTCGTAATCCGCTTTTTCCGCCTTGGTCGGTCGAAGGAGTAGACAAGAGACAACAACCAAAAGCAGCGCCCGGGAGTGCAAGCGTACAAACTAACAAAGCGATTTTTTGTGGTCTTACCCTTACGGCTTTCATTTTGCTTACTTGTGTTTCTGTTTGAATGAAATCAATGAAGTTGTTGCTTGGCAGAGTGAAGTCTTATGTGGAAGAAGCGTCGGTGGTGTCCATGTGTGGGTTTGAATCCCGCTGAGGTTACTGAATGCGATTACCCGAAGAATTTGTTTCTCACGAGTATAATAATCATAGTGTTTCTCGGTATCATCATCGTCGTCATCATCTGATGTGCACATTACTGATTAGCTGATTTAAACACCTTGCTTAGTGGTCTGGAAAAGTTGTATCAGAGATCTTTTAATCTTCATACTAGTTTATGTGCATCAGCACGTCAATGTCCCTAGTCCTAATATTCTTTTGGGGAGTTTGTATGTGAAAAACAATTCTGTCTTGTTATTGCTTCGGTTTTCATCATGCGGTCGTCTTATTCTCTCTCTCCTCACATCACACGCTTTTAACAAACGATCCAATGCGAGTGCTCGTTTTTCCTTTTATTCTTTCCCGCATATCTGGCCGTGTTACATTTTATTCACTAACAACTATTCTCTTGGAACATGTGCTACGCATGTCACCAAATAGGTTGCCGCGACGAGCGATGTTTGCCTAGGCAGGTAGTGGGTGGAAAAGGTGAAGGGTGGTCAAGCTAAGACGTGGCATGAGGGTATGAGAATCCTGACCAGGAGACTGTGTCACATAGGTCCCGTTAGGCTGCCTGGATGGGGACCCAGAGATCATGGTCACCGGTGGTTAGAGACACTGAGCGATATGACTGGGTGTCGCAAACAGTGGCGCTCGTGCATCTACTCATTATTCCTGTAACTTCAGTTTATGAAAATGTTCTCCCCTGCGCCTAAATCTGCGCCCAACATTCTAATCATTATTCTGCTATTCTATCTAAATGGGCAGCCAAAAGATAGGAACCAAAACCGGCGCACGAAAGTGCATGGTTAATGGTTGTAAGAACTGAACTGATTCTCTCACAACATAACTTATTTGGAACGCCAGTTATGAAACCCCAAATATAAGCAACTAAATCACACATGTGATCTATCTCTATTACCTTGTATCATGGAATGATCAGCTGATTGTTCACGTGATTTTCGGAATTTTATTTTGGAGCACCAAAGGTGGCCTCATTTTCGTTGGGTTTCATTAATCCCCTGTATAACTATTCGCCCTTCTATGTGATTTTAACGAACNTTCGTTGGGTTTCATTAATCCCCTGTATAACTATTCGCCCTTCTATGTGATTTTAACGAACGATCCTTCATTGTTTTTCAGCTTATTTTGCGCACGTTGTTCGATGAGCTGCGTAAAGCCACGAGTTCCGCATCAACAGAGAATGCAACAAATGAAAAAACCAAAACAGATAATACGACTGTTCTGATGAACACGCTAATTCAAACTTTGCCTCATATTCTCTCCAAGGTGTCCAGTTCGGCGGATGCGGCTGCGGTACGTTCATTAGCATTTGTTGATAGGCAGCTTTGCCGTCATCGTGTTCCATACCACACCTGATCCTGCGGGGCCCTATGTGGAGCTTATGCTATCGGTTTCCATCACTGAACAGTAGGTCTTCGTGATTATGGGGTCCACTCCGTCTGCTATTCATCGCACAGGTGTGTGTATGTGTATGTGTGAGAGAGATAAAAATGGGTATCTGCAACCTATAGGACTTGAGTCTACCCGCCTACCTAACTATGTTTTTCTCGCAACAGCCGGTTGAATTTGGCATGCTTCTTATTCAAGGTTTTCGACCATCAGAAGTAGTGAGGACTATCAATTCATATATAAGATCACTTGATTCCCGAAGCAAGAGAATCGCGATATGATGTGTTTGAAGAGGGCAGAAGTTGTAAGCAGTTCCTGCATCTGTTTTCCCCTCCTTCCTATCGCATTCTTTACATTGTTCATTAAACTAAAATGAATAAATGATTATCCACGAAGGTAAAAAAAAATGGAAGTACTCAATGACGGTGGTGCTATTCCAGTACGTGAAGTCCATCTCGGTCTGTTTGGACCTCCCCCTCTGTCATAAAGGTTTATTTAGGACATAAAGTATTGCGGCTAGCCACACTTTAAATTCTAACTTACACGACTGATCTGTGGTTCAAGATTATAATAAACCGACCTTAGTGCATCCTTAAACTGACTATATTCTTCCACCTCTAGTCGTTTCCGCGATTTTTCCGGCTTTCCTCCCATAGACTATCATCAGCCACAGACAATTCGAACGATTCTTCTTGTTTCAGTCGGAAAATTGTCCCATGACGAGTGTCTATTGCATTCAGAATTAATAGCTTGATCAATTTAAACACGGTATTGAGGCGTTCTATTTATTTCTTAGATCGTCTGCGAGGTTACGTTCCCTTCTCATTTTTCTTGCACTCCGTGGACCTGACCAGTCGGATTGAAGTTTTATTAGTCATTCTACTGCTAATATCGCTTTTTCCCTCTTGCTATGACTCATTCTTCACTAATCTTTGACGGGCGATTCTCTCCGTTTTTCTTCAGGTTTCTCGGTTGTGCGAGGAAATGACGCAACAGCTTGAGCAGAATAGAACGCCACTCCCTCCTGGCTGGCAATCAGCCGTCGACCCAAGTGGTAAAACCTACTATTACAATATGGAAACGAAAGTTGTTCAGTGGGAGAAACCGCAGACCGTTGAAAATGAAAAGAATACAAACTGCGACAAGACACCGCAGTCCTCAGTGAGTTGGCATATCTGTGCCCCTAGGACTTGTAGACTAAATCCAGTTTTACCCTGTATGCTATTCGAAGACTTTTTATTTAGCATATTTGAGACACTTAACCGGGGAAATTAGTTAACTGTTGTGGTACTGCACATTGACGTACACATAAATGAATTCAGAAATCCTATTATCCAACATTGTGTTGAAGAAAGGGTACCCGACTCTTATGGTGACCTAGCCAAAATCTTTTGCCGAGAATTAGTGTTATCCAATACAACAGCTTATCTTTCCAATGCGATTCATCATTTATTTCTGTCTTTCTATTTGTAAATTTTCAGAAACCGCCACCACTAGACCCAGAGACTCGGAAATCACTTCGGAAGCAATTTACCATTGAGGTAATTCCCCCCTGTTGTATGGCATGTTATGATGTGAGCTGTCAAAACTCCCTCGTGTTTTCCATGCCAAACCGTGCAATATCAGTCCGCAGTGAAGCGGGTCGCTACAGGCCACTTATCGACAGTTAATTTTCATCGAATCTGTTTGTGCCACAAAGCATGTTGGTGTCTGTCAAATCATGTGTCTGAATCACTGGATAATACTTTGGAATTTTCGTTCGATAATCAGGCGTTTGTTGGGGGTTACAATTTTATTATCACGCGACCCGACACCATTCCTATTCCACTGAGCTCGTGTCTTCACTTCGATCACCTTCGCGAGTTTATGCTGAGCCTACATCTCTTCGGATTGCATGGTTTATCTCTTTCTCTTCTTCGCACTAAGTTGTGCCCTACAGTTTGTTGTCGAGGATTTCCATCTGGGACCACCTAGAATATAATTGTTCCAATGGCTTCATTTAGACTTCCATATGTCAGAAAATTAAATCACTGGTGCAATACACAATTTTTCTTCCAAGTTATACTATAAAATCAACTCTGATGAGGTCATCTGCTCATAGTGCTACTCAATAATACACCCAGTGACTGATCGGTGAATCATACTCTGGCTCTTTGGCACTGATCATCAGCTTCTTTGGGGTTCTCTTCTAAGTGGATCACTGATTCACAACACAGACCGTGACATTTTTGTTTCTCAGACCGCATAGCTGTTACTCATGAAGAACTCAGTCAGCATATCACATAACTTGAAATTTGCTTATTCGAAGTCCCTTTTAGTACTTGAGCGGCTAAACCTGCTCGATGATGAAATCACTAATTCTGTTTCAGCATGTACACTGTAGGCTCCCTTGGCAGTCGTTTACTTCAGATTTCTTTGGCACCGTCACGACATTCGTTTGTCAATTAAGGGACCAATTGTTTGCTGCGGCTATCAGGTCAGCGCTGTTACGTGGTGCAGAATCATAGCCGTTACAAAAGGGGGATAAAGACTACTATCCTCACTCGAATACTGCGGTCTCGACTGGATTGCACGAATCTTATGG